GGGGGGGGGAGGGGCCTTCCTACGCCCATGCTGCAGGCAGGCAAACTCTCCATGGGGGAGAGGACCAGACTGCACAGCAAGATACACAGCCTATGCACCAATTACTTACATTGTCCATATACATGGTGACCACGACAAAGAGCTGGCTAAGGCCCGGGGGGGCCATGGGCACGATGTCAAAGGTGCCATCAGAAAAAAAGAAGAAAGTGAGGTTCAGCCAGGCCACCACATTGGTAAACACCCACAGCAGGCTTTGGAAGCCGACCTGGCCAACCAGACCCTGGAACAAAAGCTCCTCGCCGGGCGGAGCGGGCTGGCCTTGTTCAGCGCGGGGCCGAGACCTCGCCAGGTGGTCGTGCTGGGGGCTCCTCAGCACCCTCTGCACCTCCTCCAGGGAGTGGGGCAAGTGCGGGCGGGATCCCCGACGCCGCTCGTACACCGCGCGCCTCAGCCTGTCGGCAGTGACGTTGGCCTGGATGTGATCGGGGGCCCTGCGAAGAAAGACAAGAATTATTTTCTAAGCTGAACATTTTCCCCGCTCCCGCCTCTGAAACACGAGACCACTTATTTGTGCCATGTGGAGGGCGATTGTGAGCAGAACACCTTGCGCGAAATAGAAAGCAGCTTCCGTGAGCAGATCAGAAATGTCGTATTATTTGGCGACTGGCTGAGCGCCTGCAAGGCCTGGGATAGGCCGGCCCGCTTGACACGCATGGACGATTGGAGTGCCTACCCACCAGGCGGCTCGCAGTCCTGTCTGTGGAATCTGAGACACGCCGCGTCGACCCCAATCGACCCAACCAACCTGGCTTGTTCGGGTAACAAAAGGCTCCTTGCGGTGGCAATAAGTATTGCAGTAGAAGACCCGTCGACGTACATGCGTTGCCCCCTCGACCGGCGCTGGCCAATGAGCGCTGTTAGCGCCATTTTGACTTATTAGAAAATGAAAACGCGGCCCGCTGCGTAGGACAGAGCATTGCTTCCGTCGCTCGCTTGGCGTTTCTATCCTCTGACGCGGCGCAGTTGGGAGTAGGAGAGGGGGGGGGGGCAGCTTGAGGCAGAAGGCCAACGCGACGACACAACCAGCCAAGGAGGGCCGGCCACGGATGGGCCCAAGCCTCGGCCCAAGCAGGTAAGGCCCCTCAGCCCCTCCTGCTCGCGTGTCCTCGCAGAACAGAGGCCGCGGACCCCGGGGCGAGGTGCAGGGTGCAGGCAT